GCCATCAACGAGCTCAGTGAAAGCTGGGAAAAATCAAGGGACAGAAGCGAGTGAAATTCCGCTTCCAATTGCTTCGAAACTCTGGTTGAATCCGAGAATTTCTGGCTCCTCGCTCCTCAAATCAGTGGAGAGCATAAAACAAATTTTAAAATATTGAAATTGTTTTGTATAGGGTTTGTGATTGTAAAAGGGAGACTACGAGCAGAGCAGATCGGAGATGGTGGCGGTGGACGTTGAGCGGTATGTTGAGCTCAAGCGCATGATCGACGACTTGGCGATCGAGGCTGGTAACAATAGGAGCATCCGGGTGAAACAATACGACAGCTTCGACTTCGCGGACTATGATCACTGGGCCGAGACCAACAACAAGAGGGCGCTCAGGCCGGACTGCCATTACATGGAGGACGAGGTGGCGTTGGATCCTCCCCATGCCGACCGGATCACGCGGATGGTGGCCGTGGCGCTCCAGCAAGAGGAGGAAGACAACAGGAGGCAACTGGCTAAGGAGGTGAACCACTTCACAAGGCAACTGGCGCTTCAGCAACAACAAGCCGGGCCACCGAGCAAGAGAGCCCGCCACTGATTGTCGAATCATCCCTTGGAGGGATGATCGAAAACAATCTTGTATCACAAGCTCCAACAAACGTGTGAACAAAGCAAGCTCCTACCAAGGACAAATTTTTGTTGTTTGTACTTCCATATACCTGGCAATGAAGAGATCTTTCGAGTTCTATGAGCTTTAGTGGCGTTCCATCTCGCAGAATATGGCCGTGAGTCATTTGGGCCTTCCTTTAGCTAATAAGCCCTAGCTAGAGCTACATTACGAGCGAAGGAAACGTTGCTGCGTTGTTAGCTGCCAGGGTATGCCGTATTATTGGTGCAAAGAAAATGTGTACAAGTGCTCCAGTGACCTTGGAGGGCCTGATCAAGAACATCAATACTCAATTGCTAGATATAGAAGAGAGATTAGGACAGAGATTATCAGTTAGGAATCTGGAAGAGAGGGTGGATGACAGGTTAAGAGCGGTGGAAGACAAGCCTTAGGCAACCAGATGAGACGGGAAATTGACCTCAAGTAATGGCAAAGTCTATACTGATGAATTCAACGTCTAAAAAAGGTAAGGAAAAAACGTTTGGTTAGTTTTTTTGAAAAAAAACAATGCGCCTACTCCCTCCTCAACTTTTTGATTGAGGAGAATGGCTTTTCAATGTTCTTCTTTTCCTTTTTTATCATCGAATGCTTGTGTTCTCGCTCCTGCTTCACCACTGCCCTTGCAAGTGAAAAACAACCAAACCACTGAAGTAACTGTTGTGTCAATCATGTTTTCTTCGAATCGAAGTACTATTCTTACGCTCTCTCTGGTTCCACTTGCGAGAACAAACATGAATTTAGAGACGAGTCGTTTAACATGAGTTCTTTGGAAGTGTGCTTACGAACTTTTAAGAACAGATTAAGGGAATAGAGACTTTGGAGTAACAGGATTTTACCATGCAATTCAGCTGCAGGGTTTACTTGAGGTGATGGCAAACTCCAGTGTTGCAAATCTCACACTTGCTGCCTTCACAGGAAGCGCCCCTCCACACATATCCCCGCCATAGCCAGGCTCTCCTTGTTGACCACTCCAGGTTGACGAGCAAGTCCATGAGGTGAGCTTAACCATTTTGGAGAATATATATTCCATTTCCCACTAAGGCTGTGGGTGGTAATGTTTTTCACAGGGTTAGTAGCCTCACGAACTGTTGTTGATTTCTTCGAACATGGCATGGTTTAGATGCTCTAAGACGAAATGGAAACATCGCTTCTTTTCGTCCAAGAGGAGAAACGAAGAACGAACAATATGGAAAGTACCTGAGGAAAATGTCTGAGAAAAGAATGATAAAGAATGGCTTTCCAATGTCTGAAAGATTGGAATACTTGAGTAACTCATAAGCTCCACCTTTAAAGTTAGAAGTTAAAACACAACAGCCAAGAGTGGCAAATCCATTTACTTACTTGGACTGGACTGAGTATGATCAGCACCATCAACACCACCGAATCAGACGAGACGCTTGCAAAGTTGCTTCGATTCTCTGCTCTGACTTCCTCGACCAATTCTAGCCTAGAAAAACAACTTGAGCGAAGAACAAAGAAGCAAAGCCTGGAAACCATACGCTTCGTCGTGAAGATGCTGCGGTAGTTTAGTTTCTCATCGGAAATGGGGAGGAGCGATTCCAATCCTGACCTCGAACATCAAACGCTTCTCTTCGTCCTCCAGTGGAGGAACCATTCCTTTGGTCACTTGAGAATCCGTCACGTTGAATGCCCTGGCCAGGAATGGTACGAGCTCGACATGTCTAAACAGGACTAAAAGCAAAACTGTGAGTGACAGAACCACAAGGAGCACAGAAGCTACTGCGCATGAAAGAAGAGGAGCTTAAGTTCCTTCGGTCGGAGCTGGATAGCTCTGGGAAGGCTAGGAAAGCTTCAAGAAGGGAACGAGCACGCAGCCAACGAAGTTTTCAAAATGAGGCACGCAGGAAACTTCACATATAATAAATTTGAAGGAAAGAAACTCGATCTTACCCAGGAACTTGCAAACCCCCTCTCGACCTTGTTTTCCTGGTGCCACTTAAGAGGCTCTTGGAACAATCCTATCTCCGGACCTCCTTCAGGCATATGCCCAGAGGAGTCTTTGACAGCCAAGGACGTGGTCGCGTGGACGGCTATGGTGAATGCCTACGCAGAGAACGGTGTTGTGGACCTCGTGCAATGTATGTTCGAGAATAGACCCGTGAGGAACGTGGTGTCGTGGAATTCCATGAGTTTTGCATATACCCAGAGCGGGCATTGCAGTCAAGACATGGAACTCTTTCAAATCATGCCTGCTCACAACGAGTACACGTGGAAGGTTATGACTCCTCGCTAGGGTCTCAGTGTCAACACGGGCAAGGCTATGGTTGTGTTCCAGAGCGTCGGCGCAAGAACGCTAGCTGCCTAGAACGCTCTAATCTCGGCATTTGCCCAGGATGGGGATTTTTCCATAGTGAAAGATCCCTTTGACGCAATGCCTGCTCGCAATATTGTGTCGTGTAAGAAACGTGATTTCCTGGACAAGTATTCTGAAAAGTTACGCGGATGCATGGAACCTTAACGAGGCGAAGCGACTATGCCAGAGCGAAGCTCAATCACCTGGAGCGTGACGCTTCAAGCATTTGCAGGGTTTGGGCATGCAATAGATGGCGAGAGTTTGTTTCATGCGAGAAGCCTCACTCGGCGATCCCAGTTGCTTGTCAGCCTGGACCAACATGATTGTTTTATAAGATTGACAAAGCTCGAGCAGTGTTTGATGCTTTGGCGTGCCTGGACATGGTCTCCTGGAACACCATGCCCGCTTGCTACGCACCTGACGTCCACCACTGCAAAGATTTCTTTGAACAAATGCCCGGCCACAACCTGGTGTCTTACAACACTCTCTTGTCCTCGCTGGTCAGCCGCAGGTTATCCGAGGAAGCAGTGAAAATCTTCGTCGAAATGCCAGAGATAACATACAGTGTGATGATGCAAACTTATGCACAGGAAGGCCAGCTTGCGAGTGCCAGGGACATCTACGATCGCAACTCAGTGGCTCTCATCACCGTGATCTTGGCACTCGCCCCGAGAACAGCGTTTGAGCGATTTGAAAAGAAGCAGGAGGCCTGGAGCTCGATCATCGCGGCCTATGTCCAGAACGGACGCGGGACTGGATCTCTTTCGAGAGATGATCTTGCTGGCTTTCAAGCCAGACGAGACCATCTTCACGACAAATCTAGCAGCGGCAGCGAGCCAGCTCGAGCAGTGTTGCCGAGATTTTTTGTCCATGATCGCAGACTTTGGGATCTCTCCCAGGATCGAGCACGCAATGGGGCGACCTGGTCAGCTGGAGCAATCCATGCCATTTGTTCCACAACCGGGCTTGTGGATGGTTCTTCTGGGCTCGACATGCAAAGGTTGTGGAAATGTCGGCTGGAAAATCCGGGATAATGCCAGGTTGACAACCAACAATCCTAGTCATCCCGGAGATGCGGGTGTTGTGCCATGTAAGCTGAAAACCTATCCCACCAGCCAAGGCGCAATAGAGGAACACTGGTATAAAAGAAATGGAGTGGGAGGTATGGTTAATCCGGGAGAGCCCGAAAGGGCGCTTGCATCCCTCGGGTTGCTTAGTAAATGGGGTCGCTGACCCTTGACCACTTGGCCCCCCTCGTCGGTGACCCAGTAGTGCTAAGTCGGTATGGTCAACTCCACCGTGACCTACCGGATAGCGCTTGGTACCCAGGGCGCCCACGGAGGCCCGATATCTTTTGCAAACATTTCTTTGATCTTCCTTTCTGGAATTTCTTGGTGCGCCAGGCCTTGAAGTAAAATTTTTCACTCATCTGGGAGGAAACGAATGTTTGCGGCACAAGGCGGTTCTCGGACCATCAAAGCTCAACCTAATGCGTTATGTGGATGATGCTTCTCTCTCTTTCTTTTTCCCGTACAAGCAAGGATGGCACTTTCAGGGCCTGAGAAAATTGTGCTCCAAACACGTTACACTTGTTTGCAAGTCGGGCAAGTGTTACTGATTATGAAGAAAGGTCTCCAAGCTAAAGAGGCTTGAGGAGGGATGTCTTCTACAAGAACAATAGCATCGATGAGGCTAATAAAGAGCTAGAATAAATAATGACTCCAGAAGCTTATGGATAAATAAAACATTTATAAGTAAACCACCATTTCCTTTCAAAAAATAAAGGTGAAAAATAAAGTATGCCAAAGCTATCTAGCTCCCACCGAAGAAATTCTTCTTTCTTATGGAGTGCTGGATCTCGTCAACTTATCCCTGATTTCGAGGAGTGTGAGGCAAATTTTTGTAGGAGCTTTGATTACCAGGGGCTACACATGCAAAGAGTCCCAGGAGCGAAAGCTGATGGAAGAAACATACCGCTCCTGAGCTCTTCAAATTTTAAAATATTTCACTAAACCGGTTAAGTTGCTGAAAACCTTTATCTGAAAGATGGTGAAACAATATTTGTTAGTATATCCGTTTGTTTCGTATAGGGTTTGTGATTGTAAAAGGGAGACTAGAAGAACTTCTCACGAGCAGAGCAGATCGGAGATGGTGGCGGTGGACGTTGAGCGGTATGTTGAGCTCAAGCGCATGATCGACGACTTGGCGATCGAGGCTGGTAACAATAGGAGCATCCGGGTGAGACAATACGATAGCTTCGACTTCGCGGACTATGATCACTGGGCCGAGACCAACAACAAGAGGGCGCTCAGGCCGGACTGCCATTACATGGAGGACGAGGTGGCGTTGGATCCTCCCCATGCCGACCGGATCACGCGGATGGTGGCCGTGGCGCTCCAGCAAGAGGAGGAAGACAACAGGAGGCAACTGGCTAAGGAGGTGAGCCACTTCACAAGGCAACTGGCGCTTCAGCAACAACAAGCCGGGCCACCGAGCAAGAGGGCTCGCCACTGATCGTCGAATCATCCCTTGGAGGGATGATCGAAAACAATCTTGTATCACAAGCATTAACAAAACTTGTGAGCAAAGCAAGCTCCTGCGAAGGAGCACAAAAGTTTTGTTGTTTGTACTTCCATATACCTGGCAATGAAGAGATCTTTCAGCTTTAGTGGCGTTCCATCTCGCGGAATATGGCCGTGAGGGACGGAGACAAGCGAGGAAGATTTCGGAAAACCTGTTGCAAAGGTGGTGGTGGTCAGTGTTTTGGTAATAGGAGCAATGTACCCATAGCTTGAAGCAGGCATCGATGGTCACTGGAACTATCGCCACGAAGGAAGATATGGAAGCTTCGTTGGCCTTCATGCCGTAGTGCTCGAGGAAAAGGTTCACCACGGTCACCCAGCCCGACTCGGAATGGTACCTAGAAAGTGGAAACATCGCTTGGTTTCATACTGTTCACAAGGAAAAGAAAACACAAGATGGTACCCGAGGAATATGTCCGAGAAAAGAATGATAAAGAATGCCTTCCCAATGTCTGAAAGATTGCTGAAGAGACGAATACCTGAGTAACTCATGAGCTCCACCTGGTGGAAGTGAGAAGTTAAACACAAGAGCCATGAGAATTCCTGTTGTGACGTACTTGCACTGGATTGAGTATGATCAGGAGCATCAACACTACTCCTGCCACCAAATCGGACCAGACGCTTGCAAAATTGCTTCGATTCTCTGCTCTGACTTCCTCGACCAATTCTAGCCTGGAAAAGCAACTTGAGCGGAGAACAAAGAAGCAAAGCCTGGAAACCAAGAAACTTACGCTTCGTCGTGAAGATGCTGCGTTAGTTTCTCTTCGGAAATGGGAGGAGCGATTCCAATCCTGACCTCGAACATCAAACGCTTCTCTTCGTCCTCCAGCGGAGGAACCACTCTCTTGGTCATTTGTGAGTCCGTGACGTCGAATGCCCTGGCCGCGAAAGGTACGAGCTCGACATATCTACACAGGACTAAAAGCAAAGCTGTGAGTGACGAAACCACGAGGAGCACAGATTTCCTACCTCTTTAAGAAGGGGACCAGCAGGCAGTCATGCACAACGAAGTCTGCAAGCCACGGTATCAAAATGAGGCACGCAGCGAACTTCACCTGAAACATAAACACTGGACAAATAAATCTCTCGAGATCTTGAAAGGAAGAACACCAACTTACTGTTGATCTTGCCGCGGACCTCGCAAATCCCCTCTCGAACTTGTTCTCCTGGTGCCACTCGAGAGGCTCTTGGAACAAATCCGAGAATGGCCCGGTTGCTTTCCTAGCCTTTCCAAAGCTATCCAGCTCCGACCGAAGGTACTTAAGCTCCTCTTCTTTCTTGTGGAGTAGCTCCTGCTCGATCTCATCAACTTCTCCCCGAGAAGAAACTTCTTCGTCCCTAGATTTCTCCCAGCTCTCACCATCCAGCCAATCTTCCCAGCTATCACTGCGGGGGTCTCGTCCCCTCTTTCGGTACCAGCGGAGCTCGTTGATGGCGTCAACTCGCTGCTTCCAGGATTTAATCTCCTCGTCGTCGAGCATCATGCGTCCAATCTCGTCCATGGCGGCCTCGTCGTTGTGCTCTCTCCACCAGTCGAAGTCGTCGAGCAAGAGTTTCTTCCACCAGCTTTCTCTCCTAGGACGCTTTGCATGTATCCTCCATTCCAAGCCCCTGGCAATCAACCTTCTCTTCGCGCTGGAGAAGCTAAAGTTTCCACTGCCGCTGCCGCTACTAGCTACAAAAATTCGCCTCGCATTCCTCGAGCTCCTGGCAATCGATCCTCTAGTAGTCCTACAGAAATGCGAGTGCCCGAAGCGATCGGATACCAAAATCCGCTTCCAATTGCTTGGAAACTCTGCTTGAATCCACACGAATCTCTGGCTCCTCGCTCCTGAGCTCTTGAAATCGGTGGAGAGCTTACCGGGGCGAAGAATTCCATCTCCCCAGGGCCGCTCGCAACGCATTTCTCTCCGGCATAGAAGCGCATCCTCATAAACCCAAAAACCTAAAGATCCCACCATATCCATTTGCCACGTGGCATACGCCCCTCTAATAATCTGCCACGTGTCTTTATTTTAACTTTAGAACTTTGAAGAACTTTGGGAAAAAGGTTCATGGATTTCCAAAGAAAAATCCTCAGTGTAGTAAGATCTACAACATCGGCGGAGCAGACTCTGAGCTCTCAGGCACGTCGCTCAAGAATGTATCCCTGCTCTTCACTTCTGCTCGCTCCCTGTCCTCGTCGTCACGACCCGATGATCTTTGCTCTTGCTGCTGCTCTTCTTGGTCCTGCTGTTCTTGCTGCTGCTCTTGCTCGTGATCATCTTTCTGCTGTTCTCCTTGCTCTCCTCCTCCATCTCCTGTTGCTGGCGTTGTCGTCGTCGCCTCGCTGCTTGCAAACACCATGCTCCTAAACGTTTCAATCAATCCTCTGGCTCCACCGGAAGAAGATGAAGCAGCGGCGCCTCTCCCTCCTCCTGGGTCTGGTAGTCACGACGGCGTGAAACGAGAGTTGGAAGAACTGTTTTTGACGAGGACGAACAATCCAGTTGTTGGTGGTGGACTCTTTTCGACACCTGGATCACTCTGCTTATACGAGCGAACACCCAAAGAGAGGTTAACAAAGCCATCGTTGCTCTTCGCTCTTTCCGCTCTATGCATGGCTTTGCTTTTACGTACCTTGCGACTCGGGGAAAATAAAACCGTGGACTTCCTGCTTCTCCTTCTCAACGATTGTAGAATTGGTTGAATAAGGACTCCTACGCATGCCCTGGTCATGGATCCAGTTAGAAAGGCGAGCTTGAGCTTGCAAAGAGAGGCCTTTACCTGTCTAAACTTCCCTCCGTGGATGGCTGGCGTGAAGGTGCATTCGGCCATCTCTTGCTTTTGCTTCTCTTTCCGCAACGCCTCGACTCTGGCAATCCGTTCTTGTCTATCCAACAAGATCAGTTTGTACCATTGACTCCTAGTGCTGCAAACAGGAAGGAATCCGAGAGTCAGGAGCATAAAGAGTTTTAAGAAACCGAGAACCAAAACAGTGCTCGTCACGCACCTAAACTTTCTCCTACGAGCAGCAAGCGAGCGAGAGAGGCGGCACATCTTAAACTGGAACGGGAACTTCTCGTCCTTCTTCCGTAGCTTGAAAACGTTATGCAAGCCACTGGATACAATCTTTTTCTGCAAAGTCGCGTGAAGCAACTCCGAGTGTCAGCTGATCAAACCAAGCGAAAAACGAAACAGTTGAAACCAAGTTCCATTACCTGCGCTGTTTGCATGAGTTTTTGGAACGTATCGTATGACAATGAACCTTTGCCATCGTCCATGCCCATGACAATCTTAATCTCGTCCACCACTTCGTCCGAGAACAAGGCAGTGTCGGCTTTTTCGAGATCAACGTAGCCACTCTGAATTTTTTTCACAAAATAGAGCGCGTTAAAGTTCTTCTGTTGGTTGAAACGACACTTCTACAAACCTTATCTTTGTCGAGATGATCAAAGATTTGTTTCAACCTCCTTTCCTTGAGGTGATCCAGCAGCTGCCCGGATTTCGTACCAACGTAGTGTGACTTGGCAAGCTCAATCCTGTGTTGGATATCTCTGTCCATGAGAGACTTCTTCTTGTCCTCCATAGCAAATTTCATCTGGTATAGAAACTCCCCGATAGGCAAATTCCTCTGCAAAAAGAACAAGACAATGAAACATCCACAACTCAACAAGCTATGAAACGCAAAGAACGAAAAAACGAGTACAAAATCATTCGACCAACCTCGCCAACAGGCTGTCGGCCGATTGTTGGAGTGAAAAACTCCTGACCCGTGGTCGGATCGATCAGCTTCCGGCCTCCGGGTTCCAAAAGCTTTTGCTTCTTCTCGGCGAGCCTTTCAGCGTACTGCAGCAACCGATCAAAGACAGTCGTGTTGCTTTCGTCGACTTGTCCACCGTCTCCAGTTTTGTTGATGTGAGGATGAAATGTAACTCTGGACGAAGAACAAGGCGAGGGTGAGAAACACAACCAGAGAGAAGGAAGGTTCTGGTAGAAATAGAAAGAAACAAATAATTTACACACCCTTCGGGATACCATTGCATGTATTCCGCTTGACGTCGCCTCCGGTGCTCGGCATCGTAAAACAGCTGCTCGAACCGTGTCGTGGTTTGGACGTCACGACGCTCAAACGAATGCAAGTAGTTTATCCTGGGTTTGAAGGTGCACTCCATAAGCTTGGCTTCCCACAACTGAAAGAAACATCAAGCGTTTACTACGTTTTCAAGGAATGAAAGAATGAGTGTAAGTACCTCATTGCGAAGCTCTTGCAAGTGTTCCTGGTTTTGTTTGTCCTGGACTAGCCTCTCCCACACAACTTCCGTTCTCTTCAAACGTTTGGCGAGCTTACTTCATGCACGTAACAGGGAAGGGAGGCTGCTGATTAGAAACAAAACAGCGAACAAACTAGCTTTATAACTGTGTGTTTTGTTGCTGGAAAAGAGAAGAAGAGAAGCAAAGTTTACCTGATCTCTGGCTTGGGAGAGATGAGCTTCAACTCGTTCATCTCGTCCTCCTGCTGCTTCTTCTCGATTTGCCGCCGCCGCTCCTGGTCCTTAGCAACAGCCTCCTGGTACAAGAGCTCGCCATAGTTTTGGAACTGCTCGGCCTCTCGTTCTCTGTTTCGCATCAATCGCCTACTTCTCTGAGAGGAAACTTTGAGCGCTAGTTAAGACAAAACGCATTCTTCTTGTTGTTTACCAGTGAAGTAACCGGTCGATCCTTCACCATCTTCTCATGGTATTGTTCCGCGATCAGCCGTGCTTCTTCCTCGACCCGTTGCTTTTGCCTTATATAGTCAGTATAAAGTCTCAAGCAGAGAGCTTTCTACACGAAAGGAAAAGGAAAAAAAAAAGAAAAAGAAAACTTTGTAAGAATGGATCAAGGTGAAAAAAACGCTCACCATCTTCTCGGATAGCTCGGCCTTCCTTTTGTGCCTCTTTTCCTTCTTCCCCCTGTCGACGGTCTTGGTAGAAAACGTAAACGTGTGTTGGAGGAGCCTCTCGGAGAACTTAGCTGGTTTGATCCCCCTCCTGGCGGCCTGGTACTTCCGAAACTCCTCCAGCGTTTTGGGCTTCTCCATGTAAGCTCTCCTGGCCTGGCTGATAACATCCATGGGGAGCTGCTTTTGCTTTTGCTGGCCCTTCCTCCCACGCCGCTGCCCATGCTCCTCGGCGGCGCCACCGCCACCACCACCGCCACCCTTCCCCTTTGGACTGCCACCATCGCCGCGCTGATGCTCACGGTTGATGCTCCGGAGGTTGTAGGTGATGTGCTCCGTCAATGGCACCACGAACTGGAGCGGCAGATCGTGCTGCTTGCAAAACGCGGTGGACACCTCCTCCGGGGAGTCGCCCTGCTTCAACTCGATCTGCTCCACGCGCCCGTCCTCGATCTCCACCGTGATGGAGAGAACCACGCGCGGGTCATGGTCATCGGCCACGGACTCTTCGATCTCCCCACCGCTGGGGCTCTCGCTTGACATCTGGGCGATGGCGATCGACCCACCTCGCAAAAACTCAGCTTTGGGCGCCTCCTGGATCTCTCCTCCTCATCCCCGCGCCAATGCCAATCCTGGATCCTCGCCGCCGCCGCTCCGCGCCGCGATCGAGCTGAGAATGCCGCTGGGCGCCCTGTGCTAACGGAAAAGAGTGTGCTTACTGTGCTTCCAGTCGCGAGGGGTCGAGACTCTTCGGCGAGGGGCGTTCTCTTTCGCCCCCCGGGTCGTTCGTTACGAGATTCTCGGTGTGACACGTATGCCCTAAAAGCCCGGCGCGCGCCACCGTGGCGCGCCACGTGGCCGCAACGGCCACGATCCGCCCAACGAGGAGCGCTTTAACGGAATCTTTTTATAACGGTCAACGAACATTCTGTGAGGATGTGAGCCTTATCCGGGATCGAACCCGCGACGTGTCTGTGGCTGGGATCGAACCCAGGCGATTGGCTAGGGCTAGGCTTTTGGTGGGCATCGAACACCAGCGCGCGCGAGGGGCGGGTGTGCGGGGGTGGGGGATCGAACCCAGTGCCGGTGCGTGTTAACACTTTCTCGATTCGATCCGGGGACAGTTGGTCATGGTGGCGGGATCACGCCGTCGCGCTAGTGAACACCTTGGCTCTTCTTCTACTAGTGGGAAGCGCCCTAGATATGGCGCCTCCTCTTCTTCCTCCACACCCACATTGCTAGGGCGCGGGGGGCGCGCGTCGTCTAGGGCTGCCAATGGCGCGCGGGCGTCGTCGTCCGTGGTGGCGGACGATCCCGATTTCGAGCCGGGGGATTCCGAGTGCGTGGCGCTGCCCGAGGATTCTTGGTTTGGGGCGGAGGAGGCGGCCGCGGCGATCGTTCCAGTTGTCGAGGATGCCGATGTCTCTGCTGCAACCGCCGCAGCTTCATCGTCGGCCATGCCGCTGTGCTCCGGCCCTCCAGCACAGGCTTTCGCGCTCTCCGCCACTCCTCTCTACCCTAATTCCGTCAGGTGGTCTGAGGACAACCTCCTTGCAGTTGCCGCTGGACATATGGTCACTATACTGGTGAGTTCTTCCCATGCATTGCCTTGTTCTTGCTGAAACTTTTCTTTTTTCGTGAAGAATCCAGCATCGCTGTCGGGTCCCCGGAGCTTTGTGTCCGTCTCCGTGAAGCCGAGCTTCGATTTTGGCACCGTGAATCGTGATGGTACGTGTTAAGTTCGTTCTTGTGAGTAAGCTTTTGCCTAGATTTTGCTTTTAGAGTTAAAGCATCATTTGCTGATGCCGCTTACGCTCTCGAGGGATTCTCGTGCCGTGGTTCGCTCGATCGATTGGTCTCCGCAAGGTGTTGGATCCCATGGAGGGTACTTCTTTTTCTTTGTTCTCAAGTCACAGGCCTCTGATGTTTTCGTTTTCTCTCGGGCATTTTTTTCTTATCTTAGATGTCTTCTTGCGGTTGCCACGACAGATTATCGAGTGAAGCTGCACTCGCCACCCATGTCCGAGTATCGATCTGAGTGGATCGAGGTAAGCCACGCTTCCCTTGTTGTCTCTTGTTAACTATGAATTTGTATTGGCAGTTGTTAGACGTTTCAGAGATGATGTTTGAGTATTGTATGAAGTTTGAGTTTTTGGAAACGGAAGCATCGTTTGACATGGTACTCCTTTCGCTGACAGTTTTCTTTCATGATTGACCAGCATTTTGATAGATGTCAGATGGCATAGCTTTCAACAGAGCTTACAAGAGGCAAGGACAAATGTCCCCAGCTGAGGATCTGCTTCAGAAAAGGAGGAGAACTAGGTACTTTTACGTTTACGCACGCAGCTTTATTTTTGAAATGTTCTGCTTGTGCAGCACACCGGAGGCTTCAGTGCTTGGAATGGAGGTGAGCTACTTGTTTTGTGCTGATGGTTTTGAGCTGACTCGCATCTACTCGCAGGCTGGAAATTTACTTAACCGTCCTCCTGTTCTATGGGATGGGCAAGCATCTCTTGCTTCAGCCCATATGAAACCTCTTGCAAACGACGGCATGGCGGATGATGCTATGAAGGTATAACTTGAATTTATCTTCAGATGACGTAACGCCTCAATGCCAGAAACGCGGTAGAAGAGGGACTTACAGTGAACAGCTTTCAGGTGCTTGTGATTTTATATTGTTTTTTCTACGCTTCTAAGCAGGTTATGTTCTCGTAGGCTCTGCTGACGTTGAAGGTTTCGACGACGGAAAACAAACTAAAAAGAGAAAACAGCTGAGAGTCAGAGATGGACAGCTCTCGAATCTAACCGTCACCGCGCCCCAATACATGACAAGGAGTTCAATGCTGGCCTCTCTAGCCTTGGCATGGTCCTCGAAGTGCTCTTGCTGTGATAGCAACTCGCGAGTTTTTAGTGCTGTTTTTCTGTCGGTTGGGACGAAGTCTGGCATGGTTGGCTTCTGGCGGCTATCAACACCTGACGTATACTCGGTTGAAAAAGTGCTACCGCTACCAGACGTAAGCTTTATCGGCTTCTTAAACGCACACGAGTCCTGGGTGACTGCACTTGATTGGGCGGCTGGAGCTTCAACTGATCAAGTTCTTCTGGCAACCGGAAGCTCTGATGGGAGGTACAGTTCTACCTCGTATCAGTCTATATCTAATGGATCTCACTCATGTTACAGTGTCAAGTTGTGGCAAGGAGATACAAGAGTATTGATGCAGTGGCAACCGTCGGCGCTTTTCCTCCCCTGGACACTTCTCTTTCAGGTGAGGGAACTATCTTGCATTTAGTTTAGTAAATGACTAATGAAAACTCAGGTTACTGGTGTCGACAGTGTGCCAGTGACGTCTTTGGCCTTGAAATATTCAATTGAGGCGGATAATATTCTTATTGTCGTTGGAAAAGGATCCGGTAGCATTTTAGCTTGTGAATTAACAAGTGCAGGCCAGTGCTCTCGCAGGGCTTGCCTTCCACGGGCTCACGACCAAGCGGTATGCTTCCAAATATATGCTTTCATGGTTTGATGTGCTTCGAGTTCCAGGTTATGGGAGTTTGCTGGTCTGCAGACAAAGATCAGATATACTCGTGTGGCCAGGTATGTTAACATTTGTTAAGCCACTAAGTTTAAAGTCTGCTTTGACAGGATAACATGCTTCAGCTGTGGGAATTCGCTGATACGCAACTCGTAGCCGTGGAGACTTCCCTTTTGGCATCTGAGGTCCCGGCAACTGCTCCTGACGTATGTAAAACATTGCAATTGTACCCACACTAAACTTCTAAACCTTACAGCTTCCGGCATCGGCGTTGGAATCGTTTTTTGGTGTTGCACTGTCACCTGCAAATCTTTCTCTTGCAATGGTAGGATAGGTACTTAAATTTCTCTCTCTCACTTTTCCATGTGCAGGTAAGAGGAATTGCTGCTGAAGCTGTAGATCCGATGTATCAATCCAGGTACCTAAGTTGTTTTAATTTTTTGTTGGCTAGAAATTTAAGATATTGTTTTTCCAAATCGCAGGTCACAAAAGGGTATTGTACAACTGGTCTGGGTTGGACAAGACGAAACTATCGTAAAAGCTGATTGTTTCGACGATCCGAGTGCTGGTAGATCGGCTTATACTATTGCTGCAAGCTGGGAGACAAAAATCATATCGGCATTCTCTCATCTAGATCGTCGAGCCTCGTTCGTCCTATGGGATTTGCTGACAGTTCTATCATTTCTCAAGCAACTCTGTGGAGGAGAGATACTGGGGTCCGTTTTTCAGAAATGGCTCTCAAATTGGAGTTTCGTAAACACGGGTACTGTCGAGGCTTGCTGCTGGTCAACAGAAGCTCTCAAGACGTGCTTACCAAGCTTGAGTTGCCGATGCCTACAGACAATGATCGTGATCTTTCGAAGGATAATCCTACAGGACTTGAAGCTTGGACTACTTACAGAAGGGTTGGAAGCCATGCACAATTCTGGATCACGTACCCAGTTAACTTCAGAGCAGCAAACATGGCTGGAAATCCTTTGGTGCATGGAGCACGAGCTAAGAGAGAGGCTGATGTTCCTGGCTTTGCTCACGGCTTTGTGGTGCAAGTCCCCTCAAGCAGAGAATGCCCAAGCTAGTGTCAAGATGGAAGCCAGGCTACCAACAGCATTTTTGATGTCCGACTGGATCCTCTTGAACTCGTCAAAGGTTTCTCCTCAACTGCTGCAGCTCGCCACTGAAGTGCATAAAGTTTATAACAGGTAGCTTCTTTTTTGTGATTGCTGTCAAGATGTTAATGCGTTTTCGGTCGTGCAGATCTGGATCAAGCTCACAAGAGCGCTGCAGCTACTGCGAGCAAACGGTTCCCTTGGAGTACCTTGAAGTTGGCTATTGCCGCGCAGAGGGAATCAACACGAGAATAAACCACCGGTTGCAGCGGTGCTCGGCTTCCTTGCAGATCTCCCTCCCTGGTCCGTCGTGGTATTGTACGTGCTGCGGTCGAAACGCCTTCCAACAGGTTCCAGAGTTTTTTTTCTCCTTGATGTCGAGGGTCCAGATTGAGAGGCTGCCTTCGATTGTGGTGCTGGAGCCCGTTGTGTCGCGGTGTCCCTTTTGCGGAATCCTGATGCAGAGGATCTTACCGGAGTTTTTCCTCACACCGTCTCTGGTGTAAGTAATGAGGTGAGTTCTCTCCTTCCTTTCAAAAGTTTTTGACGAACTTGCTGTGCTCTCGTTGCAGGCTGGTAGTTCTCAGTGCTGTGTATGTAACGGAAAACGCTTGTAAAATATGATGAGAGAGAAACTGATTATCAAACAAGCTGGTAACACACTTTTCTTTGAGATATGCATTTTTTCACACCTCTAGCTAGCTGCTCTCCATGTTTTTCTCTCTAGATCACGAGTTTGTGAGCTGTTACTGCAAGGACAAGACCGAGTTTGCTACTCTTCTCAGGGAATGTGGAAACTCGAGAGCTCTAGCGCGGGGTAAGCGTGTCCATTCTCTTCTTACTTCTGCCGGATATGGAGACGATGCGATCCTGTGCAACTTGGTCGTGCAGATGTATGGCAAGTGCGGTAACTTGGATGATGCCCGCTCCGTCTTCGATCGTATTCCTGCCAAGAACATCTACTCGTGGAACATCATGCTGTCAGCTTACCAGCGTGCCGGTTGTGGAGTTTCGGCACTCAAGCTGTTGCGGGAGATGGATTTGGATGGTGTTCGACCGGACAGTGTAACTTACGTAAGTTATGTCACCGCTTGTTCATCGGCTGGAGCAGTCGAGCAGGGAAAGTTTACTCATTCCAGGATCGCTGCTACTGGGCACTTCGCAGCGGACGTTTCCGTGGGGAATTCGCTGGTGAACATGTATGGAAAGTTCGGACTCGTGGAGGAAGCCAGGACGGTCTTTGAGAGCATGGTCGCAAGGAATACAGTGACTTGGAACACGCTTATCGGAGCTTATACCCAGAACGGGCATAGCAGGGAGGCGCTTGTGCTATACAAGCTGGCGAAAGAGAGCGGTGTGAAGATGAGCTATGTGACTTACGTGGTGGCTCTTGGCGCCTGTTCCACTCTCGGGCAAGGCAGGGAAGTTCACTCGGACATCGTCGCTGCGACGTGCGAGCTCAACGCTACGGTGGAAAACGCTTTGATCGGATGCTACTCCAGGTGCCAGAGTTTGGAAGATGCCCGGCTCGTTTTCAACTCCATGCAGTGCCGGAAGAACGCCGTCTCTTGGAACTCTATGATCTCGGCCTGTGTCGCGAACGGGCGTCCAGACGAAGCTCTTGAGATTTACAGGAGGATGGACTCGAGGCCTGACAGGGTGACTTTCATGGGTGTCCTCGGTGCCTGCTCTAGTCTTCCAGAGGGAAGAGAGATCCAGCAGCGTATCAAGGCTGAAGGCTTGCAGACTAATGCCTGTGTGGCCAACGCGCTGATAACCATGTACGGGAGGTGTGGAAGCTTGGTGGACGCGAGAGAAGTCTTTGACGCGATGCCGGAGCGAGATATCATCTCCTGGAACGCTCTGATCAACGCTCATGCTCAAAACGGCGATGGAAGAGGTGCTCTCGGGCTTTACCACGAGCTTCAAGCGGACGACAAGCTAGAGCCGGATGGTGTGACTTTCGTGGCAGTTCTCGGTGCCTGCGTAGCCTGCAAAGACTTCAAACAGAGTGACGAGGTCTCCAAGCGGATCATTCGTAGCGGGATCTACAAGGACGACGTTGTTCTGGCCACAGCCCTCGTGAGCATGCTTGGAAAGTTTGGCGAGATGGAACAGGCGAGGACAGTGTTTAGCGGCATGGCTAAAAGGACAGCCATCTCCTGGAACGCCATGCTTGCGGCATACTGTGACAACGGGCACGCTCGCAAAGCTCTGGAGCTCTACCACGCAATGGACGTGGATCCGGACGAGGTGACTTACATGACTGTCGCGGAGGCGTGCTCGAGCTCGCGAGATCTTCAAGAGGCTGGAGCTCTACACGAGCGTGCTGCTGCGTCCGGCATGCTGGCTCACGTCCCCCTGGCCAACGCTCTGGTCGCGATGTATGGCAAGTGCCAGCGCCTGGACGAAGCAACCCGAGTTTTCGAAGGGATTCCTCGCCGGAGTCTCGTCTCGTGGAACTCCATGATCGCGGCCTGTGTGGACAACGGGGAGAACGCCCGAGCTGTGGAGCTGTTCAAAGAAATGGAGCCGCCACCAGACGACGTAACTTTCCTGAGCGTCTTCGCGGCGTGCTCCAACCTTGGCGACTTGGCTATGGCGAGGGAAGCTCACGGAGCATTTGGATCCAGGGAGCTGCTCGATGACACCGTGGGAACTTCGCTCGTGAGCATGTACGGGAGGTGTGGGAGCCTCGCCGACGCTCGAGCGGTGTTTAAGAGGATGCCGAGGAGGGACGCGACGAGCTGGACGAGCATGATCGTGGCGTGTGCTCGCGGCGGCGATGGCGTTGCCGGGGTGGCGGCGTTCTACGCGATGGGACTGGAGGGAGTGGCTCCCGACGAGATCAGCTTCCTGGCGGTGCTCTTCTGCTGCAGCCACACGGGGCTGGCGCGCCAAGGCCGGGAGTTCTTCGTGCTCATGCTTGAGGAGCTGGGAGCTCGGGCCGAGCACTACGTGTGCATGGTCGACCTGGTTGGTCGGCTTGGATGGGTGGAGGAGGCACAGAAGCTCTTGGAAGCCATGCCTTTCCAGGCCGGTTCCATCGCGTGGCTGGCGCTGCTGGGGTCTTGCAACGTCCAGAGGAGCTCCCGGCGTGGAGCGCTGGCGGCCGAGCGCGTGATCGAGCTGGAGCTGGAGGAAGCGAGGCGTGGCAGCGATTTGCAAGGTTTGTGAATCTCGAGCTCTTTCTGCAAACCTTGTCGGCATTTATAGCATATAAATCATTTCCGAGAAGAGAAAGCATTCCTGGATTTGGATTGATCTTGGTGTCTCCTGGATAATCTAGTCTCTGAACACGAGGGGGTGGTCATTTCTAAAAGCTTGAAAATACTGTAAGTTAAAAGTTCTCTGCTTCTTTACTTTCTTTCTTTACCCGATTTCCCAAAAGCCTGGTGCTGGGCTCCTGCAACAAAATCTGTGTGTTTTGATCGCCATGAAGGACACATTCATTCGCGAGCAGAGGTCGAGGGGCCCCTCAAGATTTAAATCTCTCTCCTCGACTGTCCAACCCTTTGGAAAGTAGCCATCTCGCGCGTTTTAAATCAACAAAATATTTCCTTTCAAGGTGTCAACGTGAGTCAAGGACCCCCTATGCATGGGAATTTAGCGATCTGGACGCTGTTGTGGGATCATCACTCGCTCAGCTGTGAGTTCTTTCTCGTGGGGTCGCGGGATCTTGTCAATCAATGGGTGGGTCGTTTCTTTCACTCGCTCGTCTCGATCGATGGACAGAGATTCATGGCCTAACCACAGGACTGACAATTGCCCGCCGGTGGGACAACATTCATATGATCATGGCTCCACACACTCCCACACACTGACCTTGGAAATATAGGTACGAGATTAACATCGCTATCCTCCGCTCCAAGAGCCTGTCCTCCTCCGAAGATACCATCCACGTTACGTGGCTACGGTACGATCAAACTGCATTTCTAAAGCTTGAAAGCAAAATCTTTATGTCCGGCTCGAACAAGCTGTGTACAAAAGTTACAGGCCAGAGAGTGACACATATATGAAATGACCCAAGAGGATAATCAGCGAGGGTGGTGGAAGAAACTCTGTAGTTAAATGTGTAAGTTGGAAGGGGAGGATCATCTTAAGATCTGAGTGAGTCAGGTGTGTTTTTGGTGTGATACTTTGCAGGCCAAAATGCCTAAGGATTTAGGAAGACTTCAAAACTGTGTCATATCTCCAGTGTGGTAAAGATCACAATTTTTATATAGTTTTCTCTTACCAGCAAAGCATCTGGATTGAGATACAAGTTGGCCAGTACTTGTTTCTAATAATGTCTTTTTTCCTGTTTTATGCAGCCAAGTGACCACAATCTTCTCCAATTTTGCGGTACCACGATCTAGATTCATTCTTTGGCTTCTTTCAACAACACCAGGTCCTACAGACAAATGATACTAAGCAGATCCTTGCTTGTACAAGGACTAGCTGGAAAGGAAACTCCTTGCCCTTTGCTGTGAGCTTTCTTAGGAGCAAAGCCCTGCAAAACCACAGACCAGTGCTCCAGATGATGGGTTGTACTCAACTTTTGCATCACTCACCAGATACAATAACATGATATCAGACTAATTAAACACAATGCTGTTTGTGCTGTGCTGGCAGCAAGTCAGGAGCACAGCAAAGAAATGAAAGCCATGCCCAGCAAAATCCATAACTATGACAAACATCAGGTGAGTATAATATGAGTTTGACTAGAGCATGCCCTCAATTACCCCTTTCACCAACCAAAACTCTTTTTCACTGCAGTTTACCAGCCACACCAGAGAGACAGGCACACAGACAAAGCAATCACCCTCTTAGTGATCATAGGACATTTTTTTATTTCCATATCTTTACATACTAAAAGAAGAACTTGTTAGAGAATGGAGATGAAGATGCTCCCTTTGTTTTGTTTATGTTTGTGGGGTCATATTGAGGTGTGATCCCTCTCCACTCACCAGCAGTTGCTATCAAGATGAATTTTAACATGTATTTTGACCACCACCAACTCTACAGTAACAGTAGAAACATGCAATATTTACTGTTCTGGGATTTTTATGGTGGAGGGTGGTAAGTTTCCTCACATGATGAAACTGCTATCATAAATTCCCCCAGTTTTTGCTGGTATTCTTGTAATTCCACCACAAAGCACGATGAGGAAATGGGAGAAATACGACAAGATCATGTCGTAGTCACCTGCTCGCTATACGCATGGTGTACAAAGAAACGCCTCCCTGATCAGAAGATCAGATCAAAGCCTTTTCCTCCATTTTCAGAGTTGCACGCTTGTTTAATATACTGCGTTTTTCATTTTTCTGCTGGCAGGACAATACACACACCACACCCTCCGTGTACTTCGTACTTCTGTATTCTGGGTGCGTATGGGTTGGAGCCATAAATTGAAAATCATCTGGCAATAACACCGACATTTACAGTCCACACAGTAAAAAACGGAGAGGACAAAAAGGGTCATCTAAACATATGCCCACAAAGGCAATTTCTGGTCATGGTGTTGTTGCGGCTTAACTCACACGCACGATCGCGCTTCTTGCGGATAATCTGGAAGAAACCGTGAGCTCTAGTCCCTAGCCTAGCATCTCTTTTGAATTCTGTGAAGGAGCTCTAGCTTTTTTTCTAAAGCCCAGTGTCCGCTAGTTCACCAGCTATGGCGTGGTGCCAAAACATTTTGTTATGGCGTTTAACCAGTAGCCTGAGCTGGCTGGCAAGCCCCGGGGAACACGGGGCTGGTTTTCCTGCGTGTCCAAACCTCTACTAGCGCCAGCTACGTGAAGACAACAACAATACCAAAGAACGGAGAACCAAGAGCAGCATAACCATTTGACATTGGTTTTTTTTCTCCGTGGTATGACAAATCCACCAACTTGTATGACTGTCAACTGACAGACCCAAAAACTTGGAGTTTCCGAAACTCGTCTCAGTGGCATCTTATACTTGTAGACTCTTGGTTCTCAGCAGATGCCGAGATTTGGCATTACGTTATAATCAATTCATGTCTTCCGTGTCGCTTGGATCGCGAGAGGGCGATCGCTTTCAGCCCCGCATTTTTGTTTGCGAGCCTTGTCGAGGGTCTGTTCCAGGTACCTTCGTTCCAATTTGATTTCAAAACTCTCCTCGCGAGGAATCAGTACAAAAGCTCCAAACTTTATTCCGCGAAATCCTGCTTTGGGGGAGGTCATCTTCTTACTTTGGTGCCACTGCTCTAAATTCTTTTCCGCTTTCTTTTCCCTGGTGTCATCGTCGTGGTTTGGCAGTCTTTCATTGTTTTTGTTGTGACCTTCTCATTGAGTTCTTTCCGTCCATCTTTTCTCTGGGCTCTCGCTCTTCTCCGCCTCTCTCAGCCTCGCCTTTAGCTTCAATGTGGATGCATTCTCCATGTGTTGCGTAGATTAGAGCCAGCAGCAGATATTTCATCTGGTTTTGGACTGCGATCTCTCCTTGGAGCATTGCTTTCAAGACAATCAAGGCCTCTCACGGTGTGCCAAGCTGTTTGTAAGTCGTAAAGAAGTCCCAGACTGTTTGCACTGCTTGCTTACCGCATCATTATAGCTCTCCACTTCCATTCCTTCCTCGGTTTCGTGGCCTTTTGCCTGAGACAACAAAACAAAAAGCAACCACCGAGCAAGAAGGAAGGAGAAGGAGAGGAGAAAAAAAGTCGTCACAGTAGTGAGGTGTGAGGAGAGGAGGAAAACATCCAAAGCTTTTCGGCTATGGCAGACAGTCCAGGAAGATTGCTTTCAAGCATTTGTTTAGGTGGTGGTGGCGCTGGTGGCTATGGAAGCAGCGGCAGCGGCCAGCCCTCGGCAAAGTACGGCTGCGTAAATATTTTCCTCCATCTCTTCGATTGGAACCGGAGGCTCTCCAAAAAAGGCCTCTTCTTGAGCAAGAAATTGCTGCCGTCAACGCTAGGTGAGAATGAGAGCGAGCCAGAGAGAGAGAGAGAGAGGAGAGAGATAGAGCGAACTCTCTCTCTCTCTCTCTCTCCCTCCAATCGAAAAATAAGCATGCATTTCTAATTCTAGATTTGCTCTGTGTGTTTGTGGCCAACCACAGAAGGGGCTGAGCAATCCGGGAAGAATAGGAGGAGAAGAAAGAGGAGGAGCAACAAGGCGGCCATGGTGGTGGCGGCGTGCGAGGAGCGTTTGCCCATGGCAAAGTTGCTCCTGGTAAGCTCCAAACATTTCAACCATGAAAAAGAGAACTTTTACTTCTTTCTGGAAATTCGACTAAAAAGGAGAATGCTGTGTTTGCTACTCAGATTGCTGATGAGAAGCGGACGAATGGCAGCAATTTCGATGACATTCCAGAGGAAAACGAAGAGGAAGAAGGCGAAGAGGAGGAGGAACTAGAGCTCGAGAACACCACCAATGCCAGCAAAGATAACTTGATGATCACCAGCGGCAGGAGCAGCTACAGCAGCAGCGACAAATGCTTTCCCTGTTCTTCGGAGACTCGCTCGCTCCAGGAGCTCCTCCACACTGACCACGACGATTACTACCACCACCAGTTCGCTGCCTCTCCTCCCAAAATGCTGCACGAATTCCTCGACCCGGCCGAGCAAAAGCCGCTTTTCAGCCTTCTCATCCAGGAGGCCAAAGCAGCGTCGACATCGTCCTCCTCCATAGCTCTCCCAAATTCCCGGGAAGAACAGAGCCATCACCACCAAACTCCCAGCTCCAGAAACCCAAAGAGGAGCTCCAATTCCCTCTCCAGGCAAGTTTCCTCCGAGAGGCCGGCCTTCGCTCGCAGAGCAAACTCTCGCAAGTCCTCATCCTCGTCGCCCATGACCACTTCTTCCTCGTCTTCCTCCTCTACTAACAAATGCCCCCGTGTGGCAACTGATGCGAGTCTTGGAGTCGCGGCTTCTGGATGCGGTGGTTTCAGCAGAAGGACGTCCGGGCTCTTTCTCGAGGCAGCCGCAAAAATACTTGATCCACGGGGCCAGTCGTCGAAGACGTTGACCAGGGTTGGCCACCTTTCTTCGCGGAAGAAAGTGCCCGTCTCGAAGGTACCACTCGACCACCCCGCCACAGCCGACGAAAGTAAAGCCGCCCCGGAAGAACACAAGCACAGAAGATCATTCGAGGTTCTTCCCTCGGACATCCAAAACTGCTTTGCAAACTCCTCCAGAGCATCGCTGCGCGAGAGGAGATCTGTCTCGGCACCTTGCTCGCCCGGTCCCCGCGGAGAAGAGAAAGAAGGCACCGTCCCATACACTAGCTGCGCGTCCATCCGCTCGCTCATGGAGCTCTTCC